GGATTTCCTCAGTGTCTGTTGTATCTCCATTTTCATTTTTGATTTTGTTAATTTGGATATTCTCTCTCTGCCTTTTGGTTAGTTTGGATAAGGGTTTGTCCATCTTGATTTTCTCAACTCTGTCTCATTCTTTTTATTGTTCTATTTGCTTCTATTTTATTTGAGCTCTTGATTATTTCCTGCCATTTATTCCTCCTTGGTGAGTTTGTTTCTTCAAGCTCTAGAGATTTCAGGTGTTCTATTAATTCAATAGTGTGAGATTTTCCCAGCTTCTTTATATAGGCATTTAGTGCTATGAATTTTCCTCTCAGCACTGCATTGTGTCCCATAAGTTTAGGTATGTTGTGAGGTCATTTTAATGAAATTTGAAGTCTTTCATCTTTTATCTTTATTTCTTCCTTGACCCAGTGGTGATTCAGTTGAACACTGTTCAATTTCCATGTGTTTGTGGGCTTTCTGAAATTAGTGTTGCTATTGAATTATAACTTTAAGCCATGGTGATCCAATAATATACATGGGGTTATTCCTATTTTTTGTATCTGTTGAGGTTTGCTTTGTTACCAAGTATGTGGCCAATTTTTGAGAAGCTTCCAAGAGGTACTAGGTAGAATGTTCTAAAGATGTCTACTAGGCCCATTTGAATCATAACATGTTCCCCAAGTTTCTGTCTGGCAGACCTGTCCAGTGGTGAGAGTCAGGTGTTGAAGTCTCCCACTATTAGTGTGGGGCTTACTGTGTGATTTAAGCTTTAGTAATGTTTCTTTTTGGCATAGATTTACAGAAGTGACTTCATCTTGATGGATTTTTCCTGTGATGAATATGAAATGTCCTCCTTTATCTCTTTTGATTGATTTGAGTTTGACATCTATTTTGGTAGATACTAGGATAGCTGCACTAACTCTTTACGGCACTGTCTGTATTTAAGGTCGATTCATATTTCTTGTATGCGGCAGAAGGATGGATTTTGTTTTCCTTTCTAGTCTATTAGCCTATGTCTTTTCATAGGTGAATTGAGTCCATTTATATTAATGGATGTAAATGACCAGTAATTGCTAGTTCCTGTTAATTTGTGGTGATGCTGGTATTGTGTGTGTGTGTGTGTGTGTGTGTGTGTGTGTGTGTGTCTT